GCCAGCCGGAGGAGCTGGAAATATCCCTCCCACCCGGGAGCTGACCCAGATCCGTCCAGCACCGGGCCCAGCGCCCCATCCCCACCCAGCCCCCCTGCAGCCTCTCCCCCTCCTGCTGTGCGCTGGATATATATATATCGCCTATATATTATGCAAATGAGCTATAAGGGGCTATTATGCAAATGAGCGGGGCTGTCACCGCCTGTCGCAGCGCTGTCCCCAGGCCCGGCCCCGTTGGCGCAGAGCGGGCGCCGGGGATGGAGGGGGCCGCATCGGCGTCCGCGCTGCTGTCCGGGGGCTGCCCGCGAGCGCTGCCGCCTCTCCCTGCTCTCCTGTAGCGCGGAGGGACCCACCGGGAGCTGCACCGGGAGCTCCAGCGCCCGCCGCGCCATGGGCAAGCAGAACAGCAAGCTGCGCCCGGAGATGCTGCAGGACCTGCGCGAGAACACGGAGTTCTCCGAGCTGGAGCTGCAGGGCTGGTACAAGGGCTTCCTCAAGGACTGCCCCACCGGCATCCTCAACGTGGAGGAGTTCAAGAAGATCTACGCCAACTTCTTCCCCTACGGCGACGCGTCCAAGTTCGCCGAGCACGTCTTCCGCACCTTCGACACCAACGGCGACGGCACCATCGACTTCCGAGAGTTCATCATCGCGCTGAGCGTCACGTCCCGCGGCAAGCTGGAGCAGAAGCTCATGTGGGCCTTCAGCATGTACGACCTGGACGGCAACGGCTACATCAGCCGCGAGGAGATGCTCGGGATCCCCGGCCCCCCCGGCCCTGCTCGCGGCCCCGAGCAGAGCCCGTCACGTCCCGCTGCGCTGGGACGGGGACCGGTCCCCAAATCCCCCCTGCGCCCCTGTCTGTTTCCCCAGGGCTGGATGCCGGCCCTGCTCCCGCCGGAGCATCCCGCGGGAATCCCGCGCGCTCATCCCGGCTCCCTCTTCCCAGGCCATCTACAAGATGGTCTCCTCCGTGATGAACATGCCCGAAGATGAGTCGACGCCGGAGAAACGGACGGAAAAAATCTTCCGACAGATGGATACTAATAACGACGGTAAATGAGAGGAGCTGGAGGGGATTAAGGCAAAGGTCTCATGGCTAAATCCAGGGGTTTTAGCGGGAGCCGCGCGCGCTGATTAAATGGCTCGCGGCCGCC